TGCAGTTTTTTGAGTGGTCTAAAAATATGGGGAAAGCATGCCCAAAGATGTAAACTCATATAAAAGCTATTTGTGAATGCAGCCATTACTGAAAAATGTTTAGTTATCACTGTGCTCAATTATATGTTAGATTTTGCAGACACCAAAACATCTATTAACTATATTACTCTCATTTTTTGTTTCTTCTACAAATAGGACAAAGACATGAAGAAGGGTATGAATATGTCAGACATGCCTTTGGACTAAAAGGGAATCTTACAGGACTGAGGCCTGAGTGACTAAGAACCTCCAGTTGTAAAACCAGTATCTGTAATAAACAAAGATCAGAGTCTTCATATTCTAAAGCAAAATTAAGAAAAGACAAACTCAAAAGGAGTTCATAGAGTAAATGTTCTTTATCTACAACACTCAGTAAATACCCCCAAATGCTTATTAGTGAAAACAGGAAAACTGTTAATATCATAGAGGAATGGGGCATACAAGACCTGAGTCAACTGGAGGAAGGTAACACCAGCTGTATTGGGACAAATTGCAGATGGATGAACTCATCATCGATCCTGTTATCATTGGGCGAAAGTGAATTATGATATCTAACCAGAAGGAAATGGCTGCTTCACGCACACTTCAAGCCACATGTAGCTCCCATGTTTGCTAACCTTTACTTTAGTTTAAATAATGTTTCTTTGGCATTCTAGACACCAAGGTTCTCTTTCCATTTGTGAATTAAAAGTTTAGGGAAAGGAATACTAATGTCATTCCACTGCATCATCAAATACTGAATTCTTGATTCCAACCAAGACTAAGGTGGGAGAGGTCAACGTTGGTGGCAGGATAACAAGTCATTTATTACACATTAGTATTAATACCTTAAAAATCATTCGCTTTATTAATGTAAATACAAGTTCACACAGAATCTAAATAAAGGACAGCAAACCACCTGTAGGATCCATGCACAAAATGCAGAAAGCAAGCATTTAAGAAGCATTCTGGTTGTTCTGACATAATGACCTTAGAGCTCTGTTTTCCATGGGTTTGAAGACTGAGGCTCATTGTTTAGGAAACAACGATGTATAATAATTTATGCATTTAGGGATAAGTTGTCTGTCCTTCCTAGAGATCTCTGAAGACCTCTTTATTTCAACCTCATCTGGTAATATTTATGATTCTGATGTATGGCTACTACAAAGACACATCAGGGTTTCAAACACCACCACCTTATTTTCCTTAAAGAGAAATTGGAAAAACTAATTAAAATTCAGAATGTTCCTTCCTCACATTAATGAACACAAAGATGCCCTGAACACCTACTTCATGGTGACTTACATCAATATTCTAAGTTAACCAAACAACATCTCCATTTAGATTTTCATCACACATTGTGTATTACAGTGCCCTCAATCTTCCAGGGAAAAGTATTTGTGAGTGTATCCCACCCAACGTACATGGGCTCTCAGATGTTTGAGACAGCAACAAACAACCCATGATTCACACACACTAGGAGTAAAAATACAGCATCAAGTGATTTCACAGTGGATCACATTAATACTTCCTTTTCAACAAACCTCAAGTACTATCAATATATAAACACTCAATGAAAATAATTGTGCCTTTCTAATATCAATCCCCATGACACTTTCAAGCATGTTCACAAGTGTTTTTAACATTTGCTTATTCACTATATGTATTCTGATTTAAAATATTTGCAAACTGTTCTTTACTGATGACTTTGTAATGTCAATTCTCTAATATTCCAGATTTCATAGTCGATTAAACATTTCCTCACATTATTTTACATCTTTAAAGTCACTTTGGGACATGAATTATGTGGACTTTCTGAAGTTTGTATTTT